TCCATACTTGAACACCTATATTTGAGGTTGTGTTCTGCTAATAAAGTACATAAAACTCAATTTATCCTGGTTAGAAATTATTAAAGGTAAACAAAATGAATGGGATCTTGATATAAAATAGGTTTTAGCTCTTACCTATTTTCCTCAAAACAAAAATGTTGAATACTAATCTTAATATTATTATCTGTATACCACTAAGAGTGAGAAAAGATGGTTTCTGTCTGACAGGGAACCTAATGTGTAGGAAATTAAGATTCTCCTTCCAGGTTAGAGATTTCTCCTCTGGGCGCTGATTGCTCCTGTATCACAGCACACGGCATTCCGCATTGTTAGCAGTAATCATTTCATAGGAATCACCTAAAGATACCCTTTCAGAGTTAATGTGCCTTCTTCAGTGTAGCTCCCTTATCCCCAGCTCTTAGCAGAATTCCTATAGCGAATGTTCAATAAACAACTGTTGAACATGGATGCATTGCGCAAGACCTGGAGTAGTCTTGATTATCATCCTAGAACACTTGTTTTGTTTACCTATCCTAATACGTTTTTTGGCTTGATATATAAAGGGAAAATTTAAAAGAATAAGAAGAGAAGGAATCGGGGGCACTTGAGTGGCTCAGTGGGTTAAGCCTCTGCCTTCGGTTCAGGTCATGATCTCAGGGTCCTGGCATCGAGCCCCACATAGAGCTCTCTGCTCAGCAGGGATAAAGGCAGTATGACAAAGAGAGGTTAACAGCTCTGCTTGGCCATCTGTATTCTTCCTATTCTAGTTTTCCTCTTTGTACCACAGACTTCAGTATGAGGAAACTGAATTTATTGATGTACTCAGTAAATGACTAAACCCATTTGTCTGGGAAGCTGTGAATACCCACAGTCATAACAGAATGGCGTGTCCTCCTTCTGTGACCCCATAAAGCTTTGCTGAGTAGAAGGAAAAGCCCCTTTTCAGTCTTCCATTTTCATGCAACAAAATATGTCTGTTCTCAACAAAAATGTGGGCTTCTGATGTCCCATCTGACAGCTGAGCTGTGCCTGAGTGGTCCCTCTCTGATTGACACGGAAGGTACTTGCATGACAGCAAGATCTGCATGTGGCCATTAGAAGATTAGCTCCGTTCTGTGCGTGGCCATCCCAGGGCACCCATGGATAAGGACTGGGGTGCACTTGTTCTCATTGGTGTCTGCCCTTTGAGGCAGGCTGCCCTCCTCCACAGAAGATGCAGGAAGACATATCACCTGATCCACTCTTTAGAGTAGAGTCAATCTACTCCCAGCCTGAAGGTCACAACATCTGGAGGCCTGAGAGATATTATCCACATGGGCACTGCATGGTACCTCAGGTGAAACAAATAAGCACCCAAGTGTACGTATTATCTCTGCAGATGTAGATACTTTCGTGATGAATTAAATCCACAGGTATTTAAAATCTTTACTTAAATCACAATGATCTAAGTTAAAAAATATACATAGAGTATTATAAGAATATAATTATGAACATGTGAGAATTTAGGATGGATGTATGTATATGCTTGTGTGAGGGTAGAGTTTGTGTTAGTAAGTTGTTTCATTTTGTAATAAAACATGGGAAGAGTATTATAAAATCTGTCACATGCAGGGACACCTGGGTGGCTCAGTCAGCTCAGTTCATGATCCCAAGGTCCTGGGATGGAGTCCCACATCGGGTTCCTTGCTCAGCAGGGAGCCTACTTCTCCCTCCGCCTGCTGCACCCCCTGCTTGTGTGCTCGCTGTCTCGCTCAAATAAATAAAATCTTTTTAAAAAGAATAAATAAAAAAGTAAAACTTGTCAGATGTGAAGTTGAGAGCATTCTATAAACAAGTAAAATGCCTAAAATGGCATGTCTACAAGGTGTGAGGTAAAAGTGAGTAAAGGAATGTGTGTATGTTAAGCACACCACCAATAGTAAGTGTTTGATGAATTTCAATTATTATCATTAGTAGTAGTAGTTACAGGCAAGTAAAGAACTGGGAAACGTATGTATTTGCATGGGTTTATATAAACTAGCTAATAGGTAAAGACAGTTTCCAGATGAAAATGAAGCAAAGTTGGATATTTCCTCTTCTTGGTTCCATAACACTGCACACACTTTGTTGTACCACATCACATTCTATTGTAATCACTTATTTACAGGGCTCTCCTTCTCATGAGAGCATATGTGCTTTGATAGAAAGAACTATATCCTATTACCTTTGCAGCCCTAACAGCGCTATACCCAGCACAAGTATGAGCTAGATACATTTTTAATGTATGCAAAATAAAATCTCATGTCATGTCCTAGAAGTAATATGCAGAAGGGGAGCTTACAGGCATAATGGTTCTTAAGGCTAGCCAAGGTATATGTGAAGAGTTACAAGACAGTGTAGAAAGAAATAATCAAAATTTTGAAACGGTAGGGAAAGTGACCCTTAATTGGGGGAAAAAAGGATTCTTTAATCTCTTAAAATGAAATCTAACAATGTTATTTGTGATATTAGAAATAACATTCATATTGTGCTTTATGTTTTATAGAGCTTTTTCATAAGAATGATGTTATATGAGAATCATTAATTTTTCATAGTTTGCACATTAGGAAAGTAAATCTCAATAAAACCTGTTTGATTTGATTAAGGTAATAAAACTAGAAATGGTGGAATTGGGAATCAAACTCAGATCCTGTAACTTCAAGACCAATGGTCTCCAAGACAGGGAATATACCAAGCATTATGGGACACTGGTCAGTTATCCTAGGGATGACCATGGCCGAGAATGACTAGGGCTGAATTTCATCTAGAAAATTCCATAACAACTTAGATGACCATTACATGAAATGAAATTATGGCAAAGTTGTGTGTATGTATTTTGTTGTCGTTTTTTAAAAGATTTTATTTATTTATTTGAGAGAGTGAGTGAAAGAGAGAGCACAAGTAGGGGGAAGAGCAGAGAGAGAGGGAGAAGCAGACTCACCACGGAACAGGGAGCCTGATGTGGGGCTGGACCCTGGGACTCTGGGATCATGACCTGAGCTGAAGGCAGACGCTTAACTGAGTGAGCCATCCAGGAGCACCTGTATTTTGTTTTTAATATTCTACTTCTCAGACCTAATATGGGTATAAAGTATAGAGTGTTATACCGAGCTTATAAATAAGAAGACACAAATGAGTTTAAGTGTCTTTTTTTTAAGATTTATTTATAGGGGAGCCTGGGAGGCTCAATCGGTGAAGTGTCAGCTTTCAGCTTAGGTCGTGATCCCAGGGTCCTGGGATCAAGCCCTGAGTTGGGCTCCCTGATCAGCAGAACGCCTGCTTCTCCTTCTCCCTCTGCCTGCTGCTCTGCCTATCTGTGTTCTCTCTCTCTCTGCCAAATAAAGAAATTAAAAATAAAACCAAAACAATATATTTATTTATTTGATAAAGAGAGAAAGAGAGAGAGAGAGACTAAGGGGAGAGGCAGAGGGAGAGAATCTTCAAGCAGACTCCTGGCAGAGTGCAGAGCTAGACATATAGACATGGGGCTTGATCACAAGCCCCTGAGATCACGACCCAAGCTGAAACCAAGAAAGAGTCTGATGCGCAACCAAATGAGCCACCCAGGCGCTCCCATGAGTTTAAGTGTCTTATTTCTTAAGGTAAATTATGGCAATTATACCAACTGGCAAATAAAATATCAAGAAATGGCTTTGGGGTAACTGGCTGGGTCAGTTGGTGGAGCATGTGACTTGATTTCAGGGTTATGAGTTGAAGCCCTACATTGGGCCTCGAGATTATGAAAGTAAAGAAAGAAAGAAAGAGCGAGCTTCAAACAAACTCTAATTGATGGGCCAGTTTATATGTTTAAAGTTGCCATGGGCTTGTTCAAAAGAAAGCTTTGTTATGCCAGAGCTTACCCAAAACTCAGGAGTAGAAGAAAATTTAATTATTTATTCCTAGATAGGGCCAATAAAACTAAATGTAATTAAATGCCAACTGTTCTTTAAAGGAATTATAAACATAATTGAACTTCATTTTTAACTAAAGGAGAGATGTTAGTTAAACAAACAGACCCAGAGCCCCAGTTCTCTTATGCGTTCTAATTATGTTCAGTCTTCTAACCCGGAGATTTCCACACGTCTCCATTTCATGTACACAGTAGATTGTATCTTCACAGAAAAGTTAAGAGTTTTCTGACTGACAAAATAAAGTAGGCTGGCAGTTGAAAAGAAAGTCACGTCTGGCTTCTGACAGGATTTCAGCTTTAGAAGAGTCTCTCCAACCTTTGTATAAATGCCAGCCCTCAAAAAGCCATTCAACCTTTCTCTCTCTCTCTCTTTTTTTCCCTGACTGCACTGAGACAAGCCAGCACTGTAGAAGTATGGCAGGGGGAGGGAATGGGTCAAATTACACACAAAAGCAGTGAGACTTACTTTTACCAACATCAGCCAAAGGTGTGCACTGACAACAAAACATCACCTAATAGGAGTTAAGAGCAATGTTTTAAGACACAAGTCACCGAAGAGTGGGGATAGGTCAGGTGGGTTTTATGTAACAAATGTGGAAGCATACGGGCCAAATGAAAATTTTTGGGTCATAAATATATGCAGTAAACTAGAACAATCAAGTGTACCATGGGGAGCAAATTAATCAAAAAATGGCCTAATTCTTAAACTATTTGTGTAAAGGAAAGTTTAAAAGACATTTGAAAGAGTTTAAGAAACAATGAATTAATTCAAGAAAAAGGAGACGAGCAATATTGTTTCTAAAGGATAGAATTATAATAAGAGAAATAACATGTTGATAATCATATGTACGTTTGTAGTTCATTTATTTGGAATAATACAGCTTTCCTTATTAATTAATTTATTAGTTTTTGGCTTCCCTCTCCCATCAGCATATCTGAGAATACTGAACCATGAGTCTAGAACATTCTCCTCACAGAAAGTCCAAACACTGAATTTAAAACTTCCCCTATGAGGTATTTTGTCATTAAAAACCCAACAGCAACAACACAAACAAGTGATGATAGCTCTTACCATCTCCTGGGTCAACAATCTCCACCGTGATCACTGAGGGGAATTCCAGAGCAGCCAGCACCGGCTCTGACAGAATGATCTGGAAAGTCTCCGAATGCTCATGCTCCCCATCGCTCATGATCCGAACTCTCCAGGTGGCCCTGGTCTGGCCTGGGTTGAACTGCACTTGTTTTTGCGCTTTGCCCTTGAAGTCTTTGTCTTTTTCTGCAGTCCCGTCTCTTGTGCCAATGCCTTCACAAAGACATGGTATCATTTTCTTAGTTTCATTTTCAGTTGGATTATTGCAGTTTTCCTCATTGTTAACTTTTTTGTGTTACTTTGCACTGTGTGTTACTAGATTCAGGTTTGATTCCATGAAATGGACAGTGGGGTATGGGTCCCACAGGGAAAGTGTTCTCCTGTAGGTATTGGTCAGTTCATGATTCTGTTCTATTCTTACTCCATGATGGGTTTCCTGTATATTCTTTGAACTATGTTTGTGTTAGATGGAAACTCTTACACAGCAAGACCCAGTAAATTGATATTCATGTTATGAATATTCTTACTCCTACAAATTCATTCAGTCTAAAAACTTTTCCCATTTATTTTTGCATGTGTTATATTGTGCATGTCACAAGATAAAAACATAAAAAAAGTTCTCTTTTCTTATATACATAGAGATAGATAGATATTTCTTATATCTATCTATCTATCTATATCTATATAAGCTCTATCTCTCTATAAAATATAAACCAATAAGAAACTCGCGAGTCAAGAATTCTTTGATAATCAAAGTTGTAAATGGCCAAGCATAATAAAGAATTACAATATTCTCTGCACATTTACTGGAACAAGGATGCTTAAAGAATCTAATTCAGTGATTGTCAACATGACCACATCCAGGTTTTTTCTGGTAGAAGACTTCAGAATTCCATGAAACCATGTGAACAGAACTGGAGAGCTAAATATATATGGTTATTATGAGCAGTACGTTTGGCTTACTCGGATGGTTCATTCAAGGTCAACTGTAGTGAGCTGAGGAGGTTGAAGGATCTCTGAGTCTTTCACTACATTACCAGAGGATCTTCACCATTACTATACCATATACTCAAATCATAGATTACCTATAAATAGCTAATAGTCAATAAATCCAATGTCATAGAAAAATTATAAAATTGCAGTAGTACTTACACTAGTATATCCTTAAGTACTGAATCAGAACCTCTTAGTGAGTCAAGTTAACAGAATAATCTTCAAATATATTTCTTTAAATGTTGACATTTTAAGAGAAGTTGGTAGGAAAGACAGACTTAAAAAGGGAAAAATAAAAAATCTTAGGTAGAATTAAAAGTCTGAAAAAGAAAGTCTTTGTAACATTTCTCAATTATCTTCTTTTTAGAGAGTGGTGCTTATGCAAGATTATTGTGAATATTTATTCCTTCATCTGAGCACATTACTGTGAGTCTCATCTTAAAATGAAGATGAGGGGCACCTGGGTGGCTCAGTGGGTGGGGCCTCTGCCTTCGGCTCAGGACATGATCCCAGGGTCCTGGGATCGAGCCCCATGTCGGGCTCTCTGCTCAGCGGGGAGCCTGCTTCCCTTCCTCTCTCTCTGTCTGCCTCTCTGCCTACTTGTGATCTCTGTCTGTCAAATAAATAAATAAAAATCTTAAAAAAAACATTTAAAATGAAGATGAAAATAAATACTTCATTAAAATATTTTTGCTTTATAGATCTCAGAAAAACAATGGAGATATAAATACTGCAATTTTTTTTTTCAATAGTAGGTAAAGATCTATTTAATGTCAGGAGGAAAAAGGGCACAGAACTAGGAACCCCAGCACTACATATTTTTTTCAATGTTGCAGGCTTCCTGTTGGCTCTCTGGTTCCTAGTGCTCACAGACAGGTTGTCAACACCCCTTGGGTCCACCATGAGTCACTGCCAACACAATGATGAAAGGAATCTTTCTTGCTGAAGTTCCAGCACACATGCTGCTCACTGACCCATCTATCCCCAGTGGCATGGGCCAGCAAAGAATCTATTATTTGGTCTCTGATACCTACTGCCAACTTTTCTGTTTTGTTTTGTTTTGCCAACAATACATTGTTTACCTAGAGATTCGAAAGGCAGTTAAAAACAAAAAGAAATGAGTATAATGCAAGGAATGTCCACTAGTTCTAACTAGTCATCCTTACTAAGTGATAATCAAGTTATCCAACCCAAAAAAAATATGCTGTAAAACCAAATCTCACTGTTGCTGCTAAAAACACATATAATTTTTGGGGTGGAGCTTATAAATATCCCCAAGTGAATGTTGGATGTAAATTATAAACAGGCAGTATTGTTGACTCGCCAAGCAAAGAGAAATGTTGTTGTTTTTGTTTTTTTAAGATTTTATTTATTTAGGGGCATCTGGGTGGCTCAGTTGGTTATGCGTCTGCCTTCAGGTCAGGTCATGATCCCAGGTCCACCGATCCAGTCTCTCACCAGGCTCCTTGCTCAGCAGGGAGTCTGCTTCTCCCTCTGCCTGCTGCTCCCCCTGCTGTGCTCTCTCTCTCTCCACCTCTCACTCTCATATTGACAAAAAACAAAAATCAAACCAAAACAAAAACCTTAAAAAAAAAAAGATTGAGAGGAGAGAGAGAGCACGCAGGAGCAGGGAGGGACAGAGGGACAAGCAGACTCCCAGCAGAGCAGGAAACGGGAGATGGGGCTTGATTTTAGGACCCTGGGATCATGATCTGAGGTGAAGGCAGATGCTTAACTGACTGAAAAACTGTGTTTTCTGTTGTCTATGCCTTTTGTATTTTTACATTATTCCTCTCTTTTCTCAAGGCACAAGCTATTTCTTTTTTTTCTCTTTTTTTAAGATGTTATTTTTTTAAGTAATCTCTATACTGAATATGGGGCTCAAACTCACAACCCCAAGATCAAGAGTCACATACTGTTCTGACTGAACCATCCAGGAACCCCTTTATTTTGTGGGGAAAAAAAAAGACTGTTGCCTTAAACTGTTGATAATGCTTCTCAAACATGAGATAAAGCTAAGAAGGACAGGTTATATTTTTAGAGGGTAAAATAAGACTTAGAGGAAATACTAAACTTGGGTTTGGATCAAAAATAAAGATTTTCTTTTTATAATTAACACACAGCATCTACTCTGAGGGTAGTGCTGATCTATCCTGTTACTTACAGTGTGATCCATGGACCAGCAGCATAAGCAACATCTGAGAGCTTGTTAGAAATGCAGAATTTCAGGCCTTCCCCCGACCCCCTGAATCAGAATCAACATTTTGGCAAGATCCAGGTATATCTTATGTGCATTAAAATCTGAGGGTATGTAGACACCTACTAAATACTTCATACCTCCACAGGGTGCTTGACATAGGTGCCCATTTTAATATGGGATGAGGAAATGACCTGTAGACTTGGGGGACACAGATTAGTCCACGTTTTAATCAAATGTGGTAGAAGAGACACTCAAGTACACACAATGCTCCAAGAATGCTCTTACCTAGAGATATAAATATTCAGCTGATAAACCATATATATTATAAATAACATGATTAGGTGGGGCAAAAAGAATTCTGGAAATCAAAAAGCTTAAAATTTGGGCTTAAATTTATGCTTTTATTTTTTCAAAGAGAATTAATTATTAAACAAAATATATTACTTTGATTTACTGAGCAAAACCACAATCACATCTTTTCCTCTGGCATGAAAAAATGGCATGGAGGTTAAGCAAGGTACTTTGGGAATGAGAGAACAGATTTCATACCCTACCTCCAACACATAGCAGCAAGGGATCATAGGCAGGCTACGAACTTCTTCCTCATAAGTTGTTGATTTGTGGAGGGTTTAAGAAGCACCATGGTGTGGTAGTTAAGAAAGTTAGCCCTGGGGCCAAATCTTGGCTCTGCCCCTTCGTAGCTTTGATCATATGACAACCTTTCTGTTTCTTTACCTGCATAATGAGGGCTATCATGACACTCCTCTTACGGGGTTGACTATGTAAGGTATGGGTAACTAGGGCTGGCACATAATAAGTACTCAATAAATGTTAGCTATTATTACCAGCTCAGATCCCATTATGTAATACTGTGTCTGGCACTCAGTAAGCACTCCAGAAAATATTAGGTTGAGTTAGTGAGTAAAGTAAGTTGTAAGGAGTAAAAGATAAAGGCGCAGTACCTAATGTGCTTAATGTAAGTATCTCATATTTAGTAAGTGCTCGATAACCGGTAGCAAAAAGATCTTTGAAATTCAAATACCTTTATAAAATGCACAGACATATTTAATTTAGTAATGGGTTATATTGGTTATAAAATGAATAATCATCTCTGAGAAAAAATATACATACATTTCATGTAATTCATGATTTACTAACTGTGCTCCTGAAGGCAAGTGCCTTTAGATACCATGCAAACTATCTAATTCTAAAAGTTCATAAGTGAAAGTGGAGGTTTTAGGAAACAAAAACATGAAATGCATTCATTGTAGAACTTCTTGGAGGCTACCCTGCTCTTTAATCTGACTTCCATTCTCTGTCCCAGCTTGAATGCTATTGCCCTCTTCAGTGATTGATGGGTGTGGGCCACACACAAGTCTTGCCAACTTCCTATCTCCCCAGGTTACTAAGTAACATGTGAGGTTAACCAAGTAGAGCTAAAGAACCTTGGCAGAATGGCTGGTGCTCATCTAAACACAGAGGAAATCATAGTTGGTGGAAAAAATAACATCAGGAGGAAAAAAAAGAGCTCTCGTTTGGTGTTTTAGGATTCTGCTTCAAAAAGAAAATGAAGAGAAGAATGTTAAAAGATAGTTTCAAAAATATTTTTCCACTAGTAACTTTCCCAGGACTTTCAGGGGACTCTGTGTAAGTGAGTAAACTAATATACCCACCAGGAATTCAGGCAAAATGCAAACACAGGTGAAGACATTCTTAAGAACTGCTAAGGTTCTCTGTTTTTTCGTTACTATTTTCTCCATATTTTTAAGCTCAAAGAACAGTGAAGGCTCATCACTCAACTGACAATAAGTAAAACAGGATCAGATTCCCGATCTGTAGAGCAAGTGTGTGGGTACGGCGAAAACATGCTTCTACAGAGAGAGCAATAAGAGTGTTCACAATGCTTTTGAAGGTTTGATACAGAGAGTGGAAATGACAGCTTGGAAGAGGTACACGTGAATAAAGATGGAAGCAGAGATGTCCTGACTGCAGAAGGTTTGTAGGTGGACTAGACCGCCTTGAGCAACGTTACCTTAAGGGATCAGCAGAGCATAGCGCAAAAATCTCTCCTCTACAGTTAACAAAGAAAAAGCACTTTAAAAATAAGGGGTAATCCAAAGGTCATCCAAAGGTCAGAGGGAACATGGTGAGGGCGTAGGAGGAATTGTGGCTGCGGTTAAGTATGGTGTATGCCGTGTGTGTGTGCGTGTGTGTGTGCGTGTGTGTGTGTGAATAGGGATCTACTCTTTAAGGCTTTTGAATTTCACAGACCAGTAAAATTTCAAATAATTGTTTTGCAGACAAACACAGGATTGCCCAGGTTTTATTTTTATTGCCAACATTTTCTTGGATTCCTACCTTAATTGACACTCTCACTCAATGAAAGCTCTTTTACCTCGAGAAAATTCTATCAGCCTAAATGTCTATAAAACATATGGTACCAAAAATAATATATTGCTTGGGGTGCTACCATTTTTCATCAATATGCCAAATTTTTTTGTGCCAACGGTGTTACTGTTTAATACTACAAATATACCTACTTTTCTCTATTTGTGCCTGCATGAAATTGAAGGTGAACTTGAATTGGGGTTGTAAAAAGGCTTTCTTCTTTGCTTTTGACTCTCAGTTTTATTTAAAAGGGTAAAGCAGCAGAAAATGATTAGTATTTAACATCTCACTGTTGGTTCTGAGGAAAAGTCACAATGTACATCTTTTACATAGTGCTTTTATGTAAACTTTTCAGTTACCTAGCAAAGCGCTCCAATGCAAGAAATAAATAGTAAATGACACCTCAATGCCTAATAGGTTACTGAATGGTTTTTCATTTACTTATTATTAAAGTGACCCTTGTATAGGTTTTACACTGACACCTCTACAGAGTTTTCCTTATGGTTAAATTACAGATCTGCCTAAGCCTCTTCTAAGGACTAGTGACATTTACAATTTTTTGACTTATAAGCGATTACTGCCATTTTTGTAAAGTTATTTACATCAGAGAAATATCATATGTAAGTAGAAGGTTTGGAGAGGTATGTTAATTGGTTACACATTTTCTATTTTTGCAGCCTTTGTCTCCATGATTTAGCCTTGACACAAAACTCTTGGTATATTTTTTTAGCAGTTAAAGAACCTTTAAATGTCAACATCTCCCTAAACCTTAAAACTAGAGCAGTAAACTGAACATATTTTAATCATTGTAAAATTATGAGCTTTTGCTAGGAAAAGGGGAATTTTAAGACAGACGTGAGAATTAGACTTACTTATAAATGAAGTCTCTCCCAAGTAACCTCTACGTTTAAGAACGACATCTAGAAATTTGGAGTCCTCATTGATCAAGTAATATTCCTTTTCAAAGGAGATCCATGCCCAATTCAGACGAAAATGCTGCTTGGTTAATTTGTTTCCACCTGGAAAACAAAAATTTAAAGCCCCTAATCAGTGCTTTCTTAAATAAAGGACCTTACAAGCTCCACAGATGACTTTTAACGATGCAACATTAAGAATCACTAGTTACTTGGTTCGACAAGCAACTCCAGAATACATATTTGGAGATACAGCTTATCGTTCAGCAATTGTTTTACAAAAATACAACAGCTGACATAACCCTTCACAAAATCCCTTGATGTTCAGAAGGCAAAGTGGAAAATGGGGAAGGAGCACACAACTACCTACCCAAAGCAATTTCATTTAAACACACAATCAAGTATCCGAGTTGCAGGATGACCCACTATCCACACGGTGCCGCCAGAGAGCAAGTTTTCTATAAAGAAGGCTACAAGGTTCAGTTGTGATGTTAAAAACACACACACTACTTCACAAATACCTTTTTCTGGTTCACCGAGCAATTGGGTGGAAGGCTTTAATTATAACCACTTAAGAAAAAACAAATATCCCTTCTTCGCCTCCCTTCCCCACTATACTCCACTCCATTCCTTAGAGCAAACAGACAGCTCTTTTCATTGATTCCATTCTACTCTCAAGGCTCTCTCCTCCCACCCCCACGCCCACACGCCCCCACCAAAATGGAGCTGGCTGCCTATCAGGAGGAGGGGAGCTGTGTGTGATCTCTCTAATGTGAAAGCTGGGAGGCTAGGAAAATGAAAAGAGAAATGGTTATCAGCTGATCACTCTGCAGTATCCCTCCACATCCTTTGATCTACACCAATTACTTCGGAGTAAAGTGAGGTTTATAAACAAAGGCATTGGTAATTTCTTTTAAGTCTTTCTGGAAAGGGGTGGAAAAAAGCCCAAATAACAAACACAGCTAGAGGCACTATTTTAATTCTAGTTTCTTCTCTTCTGAGTTCACATAGAGCTACCCTAGAGGAAAAGAAATGAGACAGGGAAACAAGGACTTTAATGGACTGAAGGCAAAAAAAAAAAAATAATAAAATAAAAAATAAAAAAAAAATAAATCTGCGCAAGGGGAAATACAGTGAGCTAACAAGCACATGAAAGAAGGTTCATCTTGCTAGCAATTCTTAAAACCAAAAGTCACAGCGACTTTGAGTTATCAACTGACAAGTACCAAGGATGAATGAGAACACCCAGTGCAGCAGGGATTGCTAGGGAGATTGGTTCTCTTGTTTATTGTTGTTCGAATTGTAAATCAGCAGAAGCCTTTTAGGCAGCTACAGGGTAACAGAGACAAAAAGATATTGGTACCATTAGATCCTCTAAGTCTTCTATGGAAGGAGTAATTACAAAATTGATTTGTAAGGAATTCTTTGTTGCAGTATTTTCTGTCATTGGCTCCCAAGCCCCCAAAAGTTTTTGAATTTGAGTTTTGTGGTACATCAAATCAATAAAATTACTCAGTCAGCAAACAATAATTGTTGGAATTTTTGTTGGAATCCTTAAGGCACTCCAAGACACGGAAAGGAACGGTACTGATGCCGTGAATGGAGTAGTTTGTAAAATGCGGCATTACAAATGCGGCATCCCTTGGTGCCTTAAATTGACAGGATAACGGACCGCCCCATTTTTCAGTTCATTTTTTAGATAGAAAATATAAAAGGACTGGAGAGCAGGAAGGTCATGCCCCATTTTGTCCTTAGGACCTTATTATGAGGAGAGCCCATGGCGGGGAGTCACCTCAGCTCTTAAGTCCAAGTCCTATTTCATTTCCCAAATGCTGTCCGAGCAAGTTTGCTCCTTAGAGCTCTGTTTTCTCCTCTGGAGCGTCAAAAGAGGTAATATTAATTAATGCCGGCATCGGGAGCGAGAATCAGACACGACAACCCACGTCAGCACGCAGCGCAGTGCGGCACGGAGACAGCAGCTTCCGGCAAACGCCAGCGCGCTCGCCCCTGCCTCACTGCGCATGCGCAGATCCAGCCCACGTGCCCAGACTCCCTCGGAGCTGCTTGAAGTCCGCTTGCACTTGGCTCGCCTTTGTCTGGTTTCCGTGCAGCAGCTGCGCGCATCAAGGCAGGACATCTTTTGTGATTTCGTTTCATCTTGACCTACCCTGTCTCATCCCCGTTGCTCTTGACTCTGCTCACTCCCCGATGCAGCCAAGAGCCCGCTGCCCCATGGATGTGCCAGCTTCACCCACTCCTCCTGTCACCTCTGTCCTCTGGCCTAAAATGACCGCACGTCATTCTTTTGCTCACATCTCCCACTCCTCATGGGCTCCCTCTACCACCTCCCTCATGAAGCCTCCTGCGCGGACTCCAGCCCTCTCATCTGGGTAATTCTGCAGCTGCTCACTTACTCATTTGCAGTTTTGCGCATTAGTGGATAGCCTCTCCTACTTGCTTAATTGTACAGATTTACTAATTGTACCAAATTGTGCTAAGTTTTGTTCGAGATTGAGCGTGGCCTTTCGTTCTTTTACTACTGACGACACTTGGTTTTACTGCCTCTAAAAATATTTTTTGAATTATTGTGTTTGCGTCATCATACTCCTTGGCACATTTCTTACAGAAAGTAATAGATAAGAAAGACCAGAATAACATTTAATCAATGGAATGAACACAGAAGACGTTTCTAATTTCTCAACTAATTATTACATGAAAACATTTTTTTTTTAAAGATTCCATTTATTTATTTGACAGAGAGAGATCACAAGTAGGCAGACACGCAGGCAGAGAGAGAGGAGGAGGAAGCAGGCTCCCCGCGGAGCAGAGAGCCCAATGTGGGGCTGGATCCCAGGACCCTGGGATCATGACCTGAGCCGAAGGCAAAGGCTTTAACCCACTGAGCCACCCAGGCGCCCCATGAAAACATTTTTTATGCCACACTTCTCTCTCATTTAGGCTGTGGCTCCATCAAGTCCCAGATGTTTCTCCAGACTTCTTGTCATGCTCGGCCAAGCCATTCGTTGTCCATCCTAACACCTACAGCCTCAAAGCCTGTCCCTGCTATAGGGGAACATGCAGTCCCACCCAACTTCTCAGCGTTTTCTGAACACAGTCCAGTCTCTTGCACGTGCTGTCATGCACCCAGAATACCTTTCGCTTTTGCTTTTCCGGGACAAGTTTAGCATGCTGTGTGTATTTCTCTTACCTCTCCACTTAGAGTAACTGTATCTTTTTTTTTTTTTTAATTTTATTTATTTATTTGAAAGAGAAAAAAGTGAGAAAGAGAGCGAGCGCATTAGCAGGGGGAGGGGCTAGGCAGGGAGCCTGACAGAGTCTCCATCTCAGGACCCTGGAATCGACCTGAGCCAAAGGCAAATACTTAACCATATGAGCCACCCAGGCGCCCCAGTAATTTTAATTCTTTATCCACATGTCTATGTGTGCCTCTTCTGACTGCCTGAGCTCCTCAGGACTGGCACTGGTCAAGTCATCCTAGTCTCCAAGTTCAAAGTAATGTCTGCAACACAAGGAGGACTGAAGAAACCTGTAGAGTAAGTATGATTTTTAGGAGTCGAGTGGCTACTTTGTGACTCCTGCTTGTTTCATTCTTTTTTTTTTTTTCCCCCGTAACAGTTTTCACCTTACACAAAGCACATACTTCAGTTTTGACTTGAGTCTGTTAATGCCTCACCCCTTCAGTAACTCTTGTGTTCAACAAATGAATGTTGGTTGATAGTTCTGAATACCTAATTGCTATCTCTTTTCCTTACATCCAAGAAGAGATCACTAAGCACACAGTTTCTCTCTTTTTCTAAATTTTGACACTTTTTAGCTCATTATAGGATTTGATTCTAATCCTTTCCTTGAATATTCCAGAAAATATCACACTTCCAAATATTACATGTTTTAAGAATCTGGAGTCAATGAGGCCTTCCCTTGACATTCTATAGGAAACAGCCCCAGGGCAAACTGTAACACGTTCTAGGCCCTTTATTCGGATTCATTTTTCTCCAGTGCTTTCCATAACCGCATACCCTATATAGGTTTACTTTTTTGTCTGTTCACTTTGTCTCCCCCTTTTGTGACTCATGATCCAGGAAGGCAGGAATGCATTTTGCTTAACTGTTACAAAAATGCTTCCTGAATGAATTAGACACTCTACCATCTCTGTTGAAAGAAATTCAGTACTGCTTCATTTCTTGGACAATATAAATGTCCTACATAAATGTAACATAACTCTCAGTACTGGGTCTTTTTCTTGAAGAAAAAAAAGAAAAGGTAATTGTTTTTAATAATACCCTTTCTAAAACATCCTGCATACTTCTACTCTTAAGCACTATGTGAAGGCTTTAAATGATTACCTATGAATGTAAATCACTGGGATTTGTGTTTATCTAAATGACACCTGCAGGGGTTATTGATGACTCCAGGCCTGTTTAACTCTTCACTTCCATTGCAAAGTAGCTTGGATGGTCTTGGGAATAACTTACTTCATCTCTACTTAGAAATGTGTAAAATGTTTTTGGGTTGGTGCTTATGTTCTAGAATGATGAAGGTGCCAGGTTACTGGTTAATCGAGGGTCTCGAGTGACACACAGCTGAACAAGTTTGCCAGGATTTCATATGTCTGCTGCTTTGAGATTTTCCTTGAAATGAAATTCAGACACAGTACCAAGAAACTTTGCTTTGTGAGGCAGTGACATGCTCTAGGGTAATTGTTTGAGATGCTTAGCATTCACTCTAACCGTGGGCTTTTTAAGTGCATATTTTGCTAGAGAATATGAAATTAAGTATATAAAGCTTAATGCTGAATAAATTAAATGCTACATCACCTCTGATTTAATATACATATGAATCCCACTGCGTTTTAGAATTTGTAAAATCTAAGGTACTATTTCTCATGCAAAAGTGGTACAGGGATCTGAGGGACTAAGCTGCAGTTTATTGCAATTCTTGTTATTAAAACTGACCTTGCATTCTGTATTTTATTTAAAGAATGAAAAGACACATTATTTATTCATCACATGCCACGTAAACTCCTCTAGAACCTCAGTGTGTGGAAATAATAAATGTTAATACTCTGAATACCAATACCATTTACT